AGAAGTTCGGGGATGATCTTGCACGCACACTGCCAGTCAGTGACGAGAAGATTGAGCTCAACAAAACACCACTCCACCCTCTCCCAGCCATGGATATTGATGAGTCTACAATCATTGGTGGGGCCAAGGTTGTGGAAACAATTTTTGACATACTCGGGATTCGCAAAGTGAAGGGCTGGCTTGGGACCATCAAGTTTTTTTGTGGCGATCAGCTTACTATCACTCGGCTACGGGCGCTTGTCAATATTCGGGCTGGCCATGAGGGAGGCTATTCAGGCTTTGGGTGGGGCGTTTGGATGCCAGGACTTTTCCATGCGAAGATGGCTGATGTCCATGGCTGTCTTCTGACACATTGGGGGAAACCGTCTGCAGGAACTCGAAATCCAGGATGCTTGGCCTTTCACAACACAGTTCTCCAACATAAGCCCATCACCATTACATCCCCCCCACCCTTTCGCACATGCCGTGATCTTATCTTTGTGTCACTCTATGCCCGGGTCCTGCACTGTCTGCTTCTTGTCTCAAAGAAGGCATCTCTCAAGGAGTGTCTCGAGGATTTGACGTGGGCCCAACTTGAACTCTACTCAACAGAAATCCTTGAGAAATTTGGAAGTGCGGACATTGTTTCTGAGCTGAGACAGAAGCGGAAACAAGCTGCAGCGAAGCTGACCACAGAGATGCCAGTGCATGACGGTGACATGGTGTTCGAAAATGCTGTTCTCTTCTTTTGCGATGCTCTTCTCTCGCGTGAGTTCACGGATGCTGTCAAATCTGGGGACTCAGGCCGAGTTTTATTAGTTCTGAAAACCTGGGCGCTTAGCTTTCAGGGAAGTGGCCGAACAAAATATGCACATGAAATGTTGCATTTAATCCATAACCTCACCCATGTATGGCCCAGGGAAATCCGGTGAGTCTGAAGGGAAAGTTGATATTCAGTTCATGCCCTTGATATTCAGTTCATTAACCCTTGAATCCTTGGCCTCTTAGAAACATTGTCCTCAATAACTGGTTGATAAATCCCACTGGGAACCCAAATTCATGGATCGAGGTTGACCTTATGCAGGAACACATGAATTTTTGGATTAAGGTCAGATGCGCAAGATGTTCTTCACCTTATCTCACCATTCAAATTCTCATGATATTTATTTGTCGTGCAGAATTTCTACCGAGCCCATGGCAGCTCTGCATCATGGGAATGGCTCGAAATGGTGGCCCCATGTGTTGAGATCCTTCGACAGCTTGCTTGTGGGTTTAAACAGATGCTCGGGTCGGACTTAGGGACTGCCCACCATCCTATGGACTTGTCCCATGATCTGCCTGATCTCATGGATAGTCTTGAAGATCATGAAGTTTACATCTACAAGAAAGGCCGATATCTAGATGAGGATGATGCCCCAGCAGTCGATATCATTTCCTCTGGGCTCAAGGATCTTCTCAAAGGAAAAGAAAGTCCTTTAGTCAACTACAACGACGCATTCCATCACCTCCAGGCAAGACGTCGCCTCAAACCGTTGGTGGGATCCGAGTCGGATGAGGACGAGGCTCCTGCTGCTCAGACATCACTTGCGACCACTGTCGAAGTTCTTCGACACTCGGAGGATCCCGAACTCGAGGATCCAGGATCGCAGGAAGGTAGTTCAGATGACTTCAACTCCGACTCTGGCTTCGGAAAACTCAGATGACGAAGAGTCCGAGCACCCCGGTGAGTTCCTACAAGAGTTTGAAGACGGGAATGTCCAAGAATTATCCCTCGAGTCTGCAGCGGATGTCTGCCTTGACATGGATGCTGAAGATCTTGCCACACTTGACCGAGATGTTGACTTGGAGCATGAACATGACTCAGATTTGGACACTGATGAAGAAGGAGGCTTTGTTTAAAGTACATACTTACATTAGAATCCTATTTAAGTTGTTCGAGTGCCCAAAATTTGGGCAGACGAGCCATTGTTGAACGGAATCAGGCTGCACACAGTCAAAATCACGGAAATTTCGCTAAGTCCATTGTCACACTTGGCGGAGCGAGCTGTGACCCGCCATGTGACTGACCAGTTCGACCAGCCGCTTTCGCAGCTGAAAGCTGATGACCGAAAGCGGATGGTCACGAGCCTAGAGACAATCTAATGAATAAGTTCAAAACGAAGTACGCTCCGATCCCTTTTCTCCCCACATTCCCATTTTCCTGTGCGATTGTGTATGTAG